TTATGAAAAAGCAATTATAGTACAATACACACAAAAGAGTGTGTGTGCTGGGGTAGAACTATAAATGTTTCCAAAATTAAAGTAACAAAACCTTTTGAAGGTGTATTGTCAAATGGGAAGAGAATGCAAACAGCAATGTAGAAGGTTCAAACAGTGCAGAGAATGGAAGCAGTTGAAAAGGGCTGTATAAATACAGTAAGAGAGAAAGAGAGTGATGGAAGCCTACGTAATGGGACTAGAAAGAAAGCCTCATCTGTCTTGATGCAATTTTCTTCGGGATAAACTTGCCTGAGATTGTAGTCTTAGAAAACTGCTGTAAAACAATCTCTAATAAATATGAAGGCAAAGAAGACAATAATAAGATTTAAAAGGTAGATTTGCTAAGTAATTTTCTTAACTGCGGTTGCCACCATGGAATTAATAGCTATATAACTCCTGTTTTCTTCTATTGGGTCTTGTAGTAAAAGTACATTGCCTTTCACCATTTTCTTCCTGTGGCATATCCAACTGTGAGGTTTTTTTGTATCCTTGTCACCTTCGCCTTCCAGTTCCAATTCATATTCATGTGCTCTTGCATTTGTCAGCATTCTCTAAATTTCCTCAAAAAAACTGCTATCCTCCATTTCAGTCCCAATTATTTTTGTTTCCTTACATGTCAAGGAAAGAATAGACTTCCCACATTGCATACTACTTCATGCACCAGTTGAGAGCCTATGGATTATAAATATACTATGCCAGGTCTGACAATGAAGTTAAAAGTGACATTTGGGTGCACAAGGCACAGATTCTATGTTGTCCATTGACAATATACACTATGTACAACTTAATAGTTTTTATAAGGCTATCTATCCTGTGATGACCATAGAGCTATTCTTTTTAAAAAATACTGTACATGAGCAACCCTTGTAGGAGTTGATGCCTCAGGTCCTGCAAGTTCATTATTGTATACAAGGCTCTCTTTCTCATTGATATTTGACTAATGAGTTGCAACTGCTCAACTGAGGCTTGTTATTTGGGATTATTAATTGATATCATTTTAATCTGGACTCAAATGTGTCCCTACAATATATGAATGTGACCTATTTCCTCTGGTTCAGAGCACACACTGGACCAGGACTTCTCCTATCCTAGATCAGGTCTCATTATTGTCAGAGAGGTTTGAACATTTACAAGCATATATACCAAGAAAGAATGAGTGATCTGTAAAATCTAAATTAGGAATCTGTGAAGAGACATTACAAGCAGACTTAAGAAACATTTCTCTATGTAATCATCGTTAGTCAGCATTTCAAAAGCTTACTCATTTGCTTGTATCAACAAAACCTACTTCACTTACTTTCACAGAGTATAATTTATGAAAGATTGTGTTATGGCTGGAAAGTTAATCTTGGAAATACAAAGGACAGCACTGTCTTCCTGGGTGTTTAGAACAAAGGCTCTCTCGCTGCTGCACAAAGTTCTTTCTCAAAGCCTCAGAAAAAGAACTGACTGAGACTATTCTGTTTTCACCTGCTGTCATACAAAAGTCTATCAAAGTACTGAAGCACTTTCAGCATCACTCCATGAAGACAAAGCTGAGAGCAGCTGCAATAAGTATACATTTTAAAGAGCAATGGAGAGAACAATAGTTATTCTTGCAAGTCTTCAAAACTGTTCCTGCTATAGCTAAGAAAATAATTTCATGGAAGTTAGAAGAAAGCTTGTTTTGCAAAGGGTAATGCTGTAGAAGCACACCTGCTGAAATGTATACTAAACAACTTCTATACTGCAAAAAAATAAAAAAATGGAAGAACAAAACCCCAGGTTTAATATTTGTCATATTTTCTTCTCTACCAATCTTCAATATTGTCCTTTAAACTTATAAATTGGTATATACACTGATTTATGCTAAAAACAATGGCTTTCATCCAAATATCCCATTCTGTTTGAACAAGAATTGCAGATTCCCCTCTCAATTTTCAAGTACTCTTCTATCTATCTATCTATCTATCTATCTATCTATCTATCTTTCTTTCGGCACAAAAGCTAGCTACCTTGGCAGTAATCTGAGGAAATTGGTTAGCCAAAAGGTAGCCAACCCACAGCAAGATTATCTTCTATCTCATCAAATTGATTCCAGAGGACTCATTTGACTTTCTACCCACATACTTTTCACTCTACCTTGGTAGCCATTTTTATCACCATCTTTAAGTGCTCTTCAAGTTCCTAGGGCAGTACTCAAGGTGCCTAACACCAATAATGAAATCATATGACAAGAACAATCAAACCAGCAGCAAACAAAGCAGTTAATTTGGAGCCAACAACAAATCGGGGTTCAAAGAGCAGAATACTGTCAAAATGTTATGCCGCTGCTGTAAGAATTACATGGCCCTGACAAGTAGCCACTGAGCTAACTTCAAGGTGCTGGTGTACAAAGGCCTTTACAGCTTGAGACCAGGACACCTAAAAGAGAGTTTCATCCTTTATGTACCCAACTGACCACTGCACTCTGCAGGAGAGGGAGCCCTAAAACCATATCATCTTAACAAGAAGTCCATGCTGCAGAATGTAGGAATCAGGCCTTTGGTGTGGTGGCAGCTGCCCTTTGGAGCTCTCTCCCTTTACATCAGACAGGCACTGCCTTTGTTGTCCTTACGGTGCCTGTCAAATATTTTCTTCTTTCAACAAACCTTCTAAGTGGATAATTTTCTTATCACAGTCAGTAACTGTACTGAATTCTAAATTGTTTTAAAACGTGTAATTGCTTTAGCTGTTTTTATTTATGTGACTGTTTTATTGTGAAATGGCTTTGATATGCTTTGCAGAGAGCAATTCATAAATAAAATTAAGAATCGTATATCCACAATTTACTTAAACAGAGCGGAAATGATGAAAGAGGAGGTCCAAGCCTACATCTCAGGGGAGGGAGCTCCATATTCTGGGTATCTCAACTTAGAAGGTGTGTTTCTACCCACAGAGCCTGAAAAGCTGGTACAGTGGTACCTCAGGTTACATACGCTTCAGGTTACATACACTTCAGGTTACATACTCCGCTAACCCAGAAATAGTGCTTCAGGTTAAGAACTTTGCTTCAGGATGAGAACAGAAATCATGCTCCGGCGGCGCAGCAGCAGCAGGAGGCCCCATTAGCTAATGTGGTGCTTCAGGTTAAGAACAGTTTCAGGTTATGTACGGACCTCCGGAACGAATTAAGTACTTAACCTGAGGTACCACTGTAATGTAGAAAGGCGCCAGCACCAGCATTGCTATGACTGAGAAACAATAGAGACAAAATATCTGGAAAATGGGCACAGTGACTTATATATTGAAAACTGCCTATATCACTGCTATAAATTGTATTATGCTGCCTTGCTCCAAGGGCTGTGTCAGAGGCTGAGGCTTCTTACCCGAATGATAGCTTTCCCATGGAAGGTGGGAAGCCAGTAGCATTACTAGCTTCCAAATTCCCAGGGCTAATTAGTCATTACTTCAAGCAGGCTGAGTCTATAAATAAAGAGCACTGCCAAGACAGTTAAGAACAGGAGCTGTTCTCCTTATTTTAGCCTTTTATTATAAAAATAGATTTTCTTGTATATTAACAAAACAGGATGGATCCAAAGGTCAAGAGTAAGGATGGATCAAAAATCGATAGTCCATAAAAATACAATCCTTTCCTTCCCCATCTCTGCTAAAAGTCCTAACAACTTAATATTAAAGCAGGCAGGCAGATAAACACGAGCACCCCTATTCAGCCAGGAACTCAGCTATGCAAGGAAAGCCAGGCTGAGCTGAATGTTTTTATATCAGGCACCATGATAACACTTAAACTTAGCAGCCTCCCAAAAATTTCCATCACATCACTTGTCCATAAGTGGATACCAAAGTGGCTTTCCCTTGACCCTCTTTGGAGACTTCTCTATTTGGAGAGTTCTCCATTAAATGGCTAAATACAAGCTGGGCCATCTGGGATATTTCACAGCTGTGTATATGGTATTCTCTTCTGCCCCATCATCTATATCATCTATATCAGTGATGGCCAAACTTGGCCCTCCAGCTGTTTTGAGACTACAACTCCCATCATCCCTAGCTAACAGGACCAGTGGTCAGGGATGATGGGAATTGTAGTTTCAGAACAGCTGGAAGGCCAAGTTTGGCCATCACTGATCTATATCTAGGGATCCAATGCTGCAACTCTGCTGGTTCAAGTGACTTCTATGCCTGCAATGGAACATCCTCTCCATATCCTGTCCCTTCCAGTCTCTCATTCACCCTCACAATCAGCTCTGGAAACTTCACCCTTTGGAGCAGATTTTGGCGGCGCACAGTAGAAGAGAGGGAATGGAAGTTGCACTGGTCCAGTGTAACCCCACTGGTTCAGCACTGAATGCAATCCCTATATCTACACACACATACAAAATCACCATATGAAATAGATCAGCCTGCAAAAAAGTCCCAAGGTCCTTGAGGGAGCTTTATATCAGGCTTCCTGATTCAACACTCTATGAGCCACGCCACAGTGAATGATCTCCATTTAACCCTGAGTTAGTAAGGTTCATTTGACACTGACAAGAAATAGAGCCTTTAGTGTCATTGGCGCAGTCCTGCGGAATGGTCTCCCAATAGTGACTCAGCAGTTGTCTTCTATATTGACCTTTAAACATTTGCTGAAAACTTCCCTTTGCTGCCAGTCTTATGCAGACAATTAGGCTACAAAGTTTCTATAATAGCTGGTGATACGTTTTACATTTTTTTATGTGGCTTTTATAACGCATACATAGTTGTTGTAAACTGCTTTGATTTTTTATGATGCTTGCTCAGGAGCAGCTTATTATGACTTACGGTTGTTTCATGGTTTGTTATGAATACAGTACTGTACTAGGAAACTTTACAGCTGGGTCTCCCTGCCTCAACCCACTAAATGACAGGAAACACCATTAGTGTGCATGCACACGAAAGCTCATACCAAGAACAAACTTAGTTGGTCTCTAAGATGCGGCTGGACAATTTATTATATATATATATATGTGTGTGTGTGTGTGCGTATATATATATATATATATATGTATGTATGTGTGTGTATATATATATATATATACACACACACACACACACACACATATACATATATATATATTTCTACTGCATCAGACCAACACAGCTACCTACCTGAATCTAGAACCATTTTAAAATGTTACACAAACACAGAAAGAATGTTGCATAGACATTAACTGCTAAGAAGGCTTACCTATATAGTTATAAAATCTCCACAAGTTATGAAAATCCTACTTTCTAATAAGAATAAGAATTTTTTTATATAAAATCTGAGTATCTTGTATACATTCTGCTTCTATAACTTAGGTTACTTAAAGCATTTCAACCTTTTTAAAAGCACAGGATTATGATGACCAAAGGGAATGAATGTGAACAAGGGTTTGGAGATTGTGCCAGTAAAAGCAGGCACCAGCAGCTAAGGAAAAGAGAGAGATCACTTAAATTGCAAGTTTCAAAGCATTTTCTCCCTAACCCATGTGCACACTTGCTGGCCTACAAATGAGCACTCTGTACAGTTAACATTTTCACAGACTTAATATGTTTTTGTAAGAAATGTTTGCAATAGCAGACAACTTTGTTTTGCAACCGAAGTTGAAATGGTTGTTCTAACCTGTAAGACAGTAAAAAGAAAAGCTATCAAAGAGTAAATAGCTCAGCTAAGCACTCCTGAACTGTCAGGTTTGCAGTTTGAAGACAGATGATGCTATCTAGTAAGGTTCTGTGCACACACAATTCTTAAAAAATGTATGGCAGCAGCTGACCCCTGAGAAACATACTACTGACATGTTAATCTCTAAACATACTGACGTACAATTTATGATGCCAAGCATCAGTGAATAATGTTCAACTCAAAACTAGATAGCTAGAGAGAACATGCTCATATCATCACCCAAACAGACCGGTAGTCTTAAGGTGAATTGTGTATCATTTACAGTTTGTTGAGCAATGTTGTGGCTAGTTTCGCCCTGCTCAGCTCCTTTTAAACCATGCATCATCTGCAAACATGTAGCACCAGGTTTTTAAGATTTAAAAAGACAAGCAAAACTAAAGCTGCAAGAGTTGATAAAGGAAGATAGAACTGTTTTGTCACACATCATTACAGAAAGGTATTGATATGGATTGATCAACAATACAAAAGGTAATATATTCAACTATACTTGCTGTCCAATGAGCTCTAACTAGCATGGAAAACAAAGGTGAGAAACAACATTAAAATAAAAGCACACTAATTAGCCAACTTTGCTTTTCTGTTCTGTTACTATGAGAAAAATAAGCTTTCAGCTCCCTTTTTGTATCAGAAACCCACTAAGTTTCCCCATCCTGGCATATTAGTACAGCATATGCCAGTCACACTCAACTTAATTCACAGACTAAATTCCAGTCTATTGAAAAGCTCAATAGCTACAAAGTTCTCCAACACTGTCACAGCAAATTTCCCCAAAGGCAAGAAATTAATGGGTTTTGATCCTTTCACAAATATAACCAAGACAAAACTCAAATGAGTCAAGTATATTCTCATGCCAGACATTAGGGCAGGGAGAGCAGCAAAAGGGAAGAAAGAGAAAGAGAGAGAGAGAGAGAGAGAGAGAGAGAGAGAGAGAAAGTCAAGCAAGCATAAACAGGGCCAGTTTTTCCAGTGGGTTACAATAACTTTTAAATACCATAATAAATGGGAACAGTCAAACCAACAATCATGTTATTAGAATATGGCAGCAGAGAGAGGTAGAACTGCAGTTTGTATTCTAACCCATTTATGAGATACGAAAGAAATGGGTGGAGGTAAACAAGAAGAAAGTTGTGTGTCTGTAGGGTGGTCCGCCTCATTCTTTAAGAACATTCATTATATTGTGTGTGAATATGAAATCCTGACACTTTTTTTTTTAAGTGCAAAACTCACAGCGACATCAAAAGTGGAAGATTTTCATTATAACTGGCTTACAACAAATCACAAACCTCACATCTGTTATACCCCATGTGATCTGCCATGTTGTTTCAATGCTCTGAACTGCACCACTGTTAGATAGGGGATATTAGGAGTAACAAAGGGCACGTTCTACAAAATCACCACTTGTGATTTTGTTTATTTAAAAAAATACCCTGTTAAGATTTGAGGGAGCATGTGGTGAGCTTCTACATGTGCAGTGGGATTTATGTTTACCATTTTGAACATGGTTCCTTTTGCTACTAACCTAAGTAGCTACACCACAAATTGAAGGGGAACTTCAAGAAGTGCACCCAAGAGAAAATCCCTGGTCCAGTTTTATCACACGATTAACTGTTTGTCTAGATTAAGGGTTGGAACCCTATGGCCCTCTGAACTCCATCACTCAACTCCAGCTCCCATCAGCCCCAGCTAGCATGGCCAATCATCAGGGATGATAGAAGCTGTAGTTCAGCAACATCTATAGGGTCACAGGTTCCTTCCATCCGCTGGTCTAGATCATGCCTCAGACATGAATGGAAGACTTTTGCAGGGATCATTCAGAGTTTTGAGTTTAGCAACTTTCCCGTGCATGGTCTTCTAGGTCACAAGAATCGCAACATTCCTGGACTGACACAGCCCTGGCCCATTTTTTAAAAAAATCCCACATAGAGTGGTCCCATCACTGCAGCCACAGGAAGGTAGCAACATACATGTCATTGCCACAACACCTCTCTCGGTGATAAAGTTCCAGGATGCCCCCACTGTCAAAAGATTTGTCTCCCTTCTTGACAGAAAAATGTGAGCAGGGCTTCCAGAAACTCACATCTCAGCATGGCCAATATATGTGAAATAATAACCTCCTTCACTTTCTAAAAAAATATGAACTAGGATAAAGCACCTGGAGCACAAGGTTAATAATGGTGCTAAAGGTATTGCTAAACCTCTGACTGTTGAAAGCTGGGAAACAGAGGAGAATTGTGTACTTGTTTATTGGGCTTACTGTAAAGAATCTTCCTTTGTAGCCACAGAGGTTGGGAACTGCAGCCACATGACATCAGGTGATTGACAGTTGGGAAGCCCCACCCACTGATCAATGTAGCTCACAGAGGGTTGGCCAGCTGTGAATCCAGTCCTCTGGTCAGTTCCAATTTCCCATCCCTGCTGTAAAATAACAGTAAAGCTGGCATACCAGTAGTGGTATAACTAGGTGATTATCACATTTTTATTTTTGCTGTCGTTAACACTAACCCCTATCTAGCAGAACTTGCACAGCACTTCATTCCCACATGATGGATTGGAATGGGGACCACTCACCCTTGTTGCAAGGAAAGGGGGAAATTGTCATGCTGTCTGGAACTTTAAACACACACACACCATAAGGACTTCAGCACTGGCTATGCAAAGCAAGGGAGCGACACCCATAAACGAACAATGAAAAATCCAAGCCAAGAACAGTAACATAAACGATTATGTTATTTATTTATATCCAACCTTTCCCCCTGAAATTGACTTAAGGTGGCTTACAGTTAAAATAGAAACAATGGGGGCAGTTAGAAAAATACAGCAGTTTACCCTTTCAAAGCACCACTGGATGAGCATTCCAACACCAAAGTATGCCACTCAATACTAACCACTGGAAATAAAGTGCAGGGGATGCCAGTGTGCTCATGTCCTGCTTTGGGTCTTCCCATAGGCATCTGGTTGGCCACTGTGAGCACAGAATGCTGGGCTAGATGGGTCTTTGTTCCAGTCCAGTAGGGCTCTTCACACGTTCTTTAGTAGCATACCAGTTCATAGTCACTGGGGTCATTTTTAAGACTGAAAAATTGGAGTTCACAAAATGATAGGCACATGAAGGGGAAAGTTGTATGCAGCCATCGTTTATGGCAACATAGACCACAGCTAACAGATGCCACAAGCAATGCATTTGCAAGGAGGCAGAAGAACTGCATTTCCCCAGCTATAAAGCACATCACATCCACCAATGGCGAGGGAAATGTGTTGTCTCTGCAAACATTGAAAGGAGATTCTGGATTGTCTACAATGAATAGGTAATAGTGGCATATTTAATGCATCAAGAGCAACCTGAAAATGTCCTCTGGGGAAACTATTTGTAATTTTGCCTCTTGGTGAAGTACAGCTGTAAACAGCTGGGAGCTGTCTATCTAAACAGACACAAACTGAAAGGAGGTTTAGCATCGTACAATAGACTCTGTAACCACATTTACCAAGCAATAAAGTCCACTGGAGCAAATGAATTTACTCTCAGGAAGGTAGTTACGCATGGCGCTCATAATTTAGCAGCTAGCCTCTTGAAATTAGGAAGAATTACACTGTCTGACATGTTCAGTTATTTATGTTCATCTTTCATGGTTCCCTTTCAAGAATTAGAAATGGCCACAACCAAAGGTGACATATCAGATGGATCATGTTAAATAAGTTTTTCTTCTTAAGGTGACAGGATGGGTTTTGCTGTCACACCAAGGAACTGGCTGTCATATTTGGCTCCAAGATAAAGGCTGATTTTGTAACACTAGGGAAGAACTTTCAGAGTCTCTTCTCTCAGGTGTCCGCATAAATACTGGATATTGCAAAGCTGCACAAACAAACTTGAACTGACATTGCTCATTTTAGACAGGTTTTGTGCCATTGCTTTTAACAGATGCTTTGCAGATTTCTCTGTAAAATATGCCATTACAACAAACACAAGTTTTGCTGATGTTCAATTATGGTACATTCCATCCCTTCCCCATACAATGGGCTTTGTAAAACAGATTTTAAGGGAATGACCAGGTCAAAAAGTCAGACCACCAAAAGAACCCACAGTTTAACCATAAGCAAAATGCACTGCCAAATTCATCCATTTTAGTTTAATCACAAACTGAACTAAGAATGCATGATAAAAAAACACACACACACACACAAGGAGTGTGACCTATTAAATGGATAGGATGATATTGAACAATATATGGCAGCTTTACAAGACAGTACTTCTAGAAGTGTCTACAAGTTCTTACCCATTATACTGAATAGAGTGCTTGAATGTACATGATTACCTTTTAAAGAAACAATTGAAATTCAACACATCGCATATTTAATGACAATCATGCTATAGTTTAAGTCTGACACAGATTTCACTTTTA